TGTAAGCCATCGCCTCGCGTCCCCCCCTTTCGTGCTGATGCCCTCTGCTAACACAAATCCCCAGCCTCCTACCACCTGCAAGCGCCGCCGCGTCCGCCGCAACTCGGCCGCCGCCAAGAAGTACCGCGCCGCCAAGCGCGCCGCCGCCCTCCGCCGCTAAGTCGCCAATTCGCTCTGGTGGCCCAAAGCGAGGCGTTGCGATGCATGGCGTGGTTTGGGGAGTCTGTCCTTGCGAGGGCTCTCTCTCTCTCTCTCTCTCTCCCTTTCCCCCATGATTCTTTGTATATACTACCTGACGCGATTTCTTCAACCTGTAAAAAAAGACCTGTGGGGAAGCAATGGATATAGACGAAAGATGAACGGGGCTCAAGGAAATGGCGGTGCTGCCTCGGTTCCTGAATTGACGTGTTCAAACCCTTGATCGTGCTACCTTTTATGATCTACAACGTGATATAAGGTTGAGAGTGGTTGTTTTTGGAAAGTAGTACTTGGTTCACTATTTTTCTGGGGTTGATGTGATTGCCCATCGAGATGAGCCTTATGTGTCGATCACTCTGGCCCTGGGACGATCACATCCGCATGAAACCTGCCCTATCGGATATCCCAGGCGGCTGGCGAGACGACCGGACAATGATCGGCATGCACCTTGGGTTGCGACGGAGGGGGAGGAAATGCGCACAACCTGGTCTTGAACAGCTGGCCATTCTAAAGCACAGCACATTATTGGTTTTTGAGAGGAAGATTTTCAGACACTGGATTGAGAAGATGAAGATGGCATAGCTGTATGGACATCTGTGCAAACAGTGCCCGCTCGGAGTAGTATGATACCTGGACAGTGTTGGCTAGGATCGCCACGATGAATGCAGTCGGAGCGCCAGCTGTGGATAGTTTGAGGCGATTTATAGTATCTCGGATGTCAGAGGATCAATTCAGATAGACAAGGGCAACGAAGACGAAGGACGTGTGATTCATCCCTTCCCTTGGGTTTACCAGTGTTGTAGGAACCCTCTTCGGTTGCGTTCAGCGCCTTGCCCTGCGTAGGCGGAGAGGAAGATACTGTCTTCTGACGCATCGCCATCCAATAGCTAATCAAGGAGTGCTCCGTCAAGAGCCATCCTATGCATCAAGTCATTTCGCCAAGGGACTTCCAAATTTTTGTTCTTTGTCAGGAGGAAAGCGGCCACGTCGGTTTTCGCTTTTCCTCACAGTCGCGCGAACGGTTGCCAATGGGCAGCAATCCGAGATCCTCATTTGCACAGTAGAGACCATTCACTGCAGTACTGACTACTATTTAGATAACGTGTGACTGGGTTTAATCATATTCTCGTTGTCCTCGGATCACACCCTCATCCTGCATGTCGCTCCAGCTTGATAAGACTGGAAGCAGACAAGGTATATCAGCATCGAGTCCTGTTTCTCGAGACAGATCAAAATGAGTGACTTTTACGGCTTTCTTATTGGCAAGGTCCAGCTTTCGGTGGCGATCAAAGCAAAAAGGGCCATCATTTGAGTTCTGAGGCAAATTACAGTTGCATGCCTCAACGGAGTAAACCTTGGTGGACTGCAATCAGTCGGCACCGTTACCTTTCTTGACAGACTACACTCTCACCAGAACCCTGACTCGCAATGTACTCAGCGCTCCAACCCGACTATAGCTCAATCAAGTTGGGAGAAGGTTCAATATTTGTTCATACCGAGCTGATCCAAGTCGAGGGGCGAACGCCGCAACAAGCAGCTCAGGAGTATCTCCTAACAGTAGCCGAAGAGGCAAAATTGTTCCAGGAGAACGATCATGTCATGTCGACGTGGGATTCGCTCCAAGAGAACGAACGTAACAAGAAGATGCAAAAATTAGCATTTTAAAGAGGGCAAAAGATCAAATCTATGCGTGAACTGGGAATCGAACCCAGGGCTCCCCGATGGCAACGGAGAATTTTACCACTAAACCATTCACGCTATTGGATGACAGACGTGTCAACAGAATCAATCATGATTCCACGTTGCACCGCTGAACTTCGCCGCCCCCTTCTCCTTGCTCCGGCGGCTTACACGCAACCGACCTGCCAAGTGACGACATTGTCAGCACACGCCGTCTGAGTCACGCCCTTCACATCCCTAACGCCTGATATCACTGCATCTTGCTTAGAAATTCATCACGGATGGCCAGCGTCCATTCATAAACATGTCGTCTCTCCGTCTCTCTTTCAAGCGAGCGACGAACACAAGATGAGCCTGAAGCAGGTCCGGTGTCAGGACTCGAAGATGCTTCAACATCACGATGATGCAGGCGAGAATGCATGGCCTCTCGACTCGACGTCAGTGTCTTGGCTGGCCTTTGAAGACAAAAAGTTCTCGCACGCGTTAATCCTTTCAGCAACGCTCTGCTGGCGCATGCCATGGCAAACTTGAGTTGGCACATGCACTGAAGAGCGCCAGTGTTGTTTCGATGTGCTCCCGCGCATACGATCGAAGCTCCCTCCGGGAAGCCCTATCATACGGTAAGTCCCCATGTTGTTACCTGATCTCGGCGAACAAGACCAAGGCCTCTACGACATCCTTTTCTCCAGCGACACGGTCAGTCTCGACGTCACGGATGATGATGATGATGATGATATGCAAGCAGAAGTTCGAACTTTCAGCGAGAGCTGTAGATCTGTTTTGGCACTGATGGGGTATTATCTGCGGAAACGATTGGATGAAGCGACAGCATCGAAAACAGACGACGCCGCAAACAAGACACCCGACTCCATGTCAACCGCCTGCTCGACCTGCCCCCCTACCTCCAAGCACGGACAGCACGACCACCATCTACGACTTGGGCGCGTTGGGCCCGTCCTGGACGTACGACGGGTTCTGCGCTGCGTGCTTCTCGTCACCCTGCAGCGAGTCGTCGGAACCGGCCGCATTGCCGGACGCCACGTGGCGGCGGCGCAGACGGCCAGTCTCGTCGTGGGTCTGATCCCATTCATCGAGTTCGGCGAGGGGAACCCGCACAAGGCGGTGCGTGTTGGCGCCAGTGTCTTCGCTGACATCAACATCGAGGACCTCGGTCCTGATGCGGTAGCCCTTCCATTGGGGCAGGGTGTACATCCAGACGTAGTAGTAGATGCCGCAGACGATCATGCTGTGGAGATGGTCAGTCACTGCTGAGATGGACGGCGGGGGCGGGGGCAGGGGCGGGCGTCTGAGGACCCGGCTCTCGCGGGGCATGGGAACTCACATGGCGATACCAACAAGGCAGTACGTCGCATAGAAGAAGCTAACGTCTCCGGCGTAGATGCCTCCCTCGGGAGGGAACCACGGCATGACGAGGAGGTAGACCTGAATGAGCAAGAAGAAAATGACAGCAACGTGCCACGCCTTGAACTCGGGACGCGGCTGGTTGGAGCGGGCACGACGCCTGCGGATAATGTAGACGCCGAGGACCATGGCGACGAAGAACATGGCGCTCGGGTACGTCTGCAGACTGACGACAAAGGTGAAGGCGTCTCCGGCCGGGGGCGCGACGATCATGATAAAGGTCATGCCCCATTTCAAGAGGTAGGGACCCAGAGGGGTGCCAAAGGGGCGCGTCGACACCCAGAACTCGGTGAAGGGGAGAACGCCCTGACGACCGATCTCGCGGATGGAGCGAGACTGCCCGATGAGCACGACCAGCAGGTTACCGAAGGAACTGAGCAGCACGAGGAAGTTCAAGGCCTGCTCAGCGCTACCCTTGCCGAAGACAGTGCGGAAGAAGGTGGCGGCCGCAATCTCGCCCGAGGCAGCAAACTCGGCCTTGGACACTATGATGGATCGTGTCAGTCATCAAACCGCGATTCAGGAACCGAAGCATCGAGGACTCACCGGCCGAGAAGTACGCAATGTTGCACAGGAAGTAGAGCACAAAGACAATGCCGAGCGAGATGGAGGCGTTCTTCCTCAGGGTGGGAATGGGGTTCTGAATCTCATTGACGAGGTTGAAGGCGTTGGAGTAGCCCGAGTACGAGAAGACGATGCTGACCAGCGAGTTGGCCAAGTCGTTGCCGTTCTGAGTGGTGCCGTCAAAGGCATTGCGGAAGTTTCTGTGGGGGTCGGGAACGCGGTCGACATTGCCGCCGAGGATGACGAGACCGGTGATACTGATGAAGACGAGGGTGATGATCTTGAGGGCACCAATAACGTTGGACGCCCAGAGAGAATACTTGTTGTGGGCGATGACACCTGGGAATCCGATCACATCAGCCACTCTCCAGAGACAACGAAACGAACTTTGAGACGATATCAAAACGTACAGATGACAGCAAAGGTATAAGCGGCAACGGCAACACCCTTCATCTCCCAGTCGGTAGGGGCCCGACCGATGATGCGCCAAAGATAACGCGACAAGACGATGGCGTTGCTGCTGCTGAAAGACAGAATGATCGACTGAACGGCAAAGGTAACGGGGAAGAAGTGCTTCGGACGAGGATAGGCCTGCTCGAGGTAGACGACCTCACCGCCGCTGCGGTTCGGGAAGTAACTGGCAAGCTCGAGGTACACGGCAAGGCCAGCAGCGGCCATGAAGAAGCCAATAACCCAGTAGATCAGGGCCAAGCCGACGGAGCCCGTGTTTCGGAGGATGTTTCCGGCTGCATGGCGCGTCAGCATGGCGTCTCTCGTTAGAACAACACGGGCAAACCGACGCCTCCAGCTCCCTCTAGCCATGAGAGCTCGAGCGACGAGCCGTCCGAGACAACAAGAGCGGACAGGACTTACGAGTGGAGAAGATACCGGTTCCGATCATCATGTTGATGTTCAGGAAGATGACGGTGAGCCAGTTGACATGGTAGCCAAGCGGCGACTTGGACTCCACGGGAGCGCCGGCAGCCTCCTGGTACGAAGGCCCGGAGCCGTTGCCGGCGGCGAAGCGGACGTAGGCCAACTTTCCATCGTGGATCACCGAGTTTTCGCTGTCCGAGTTGTAGTTGGACCTGTCGCTGGCCACTTCGACCGCAGTCTGTGGCTTCCAGAAGGACAAGCCCATGATGGCGTTGTTGCTGTTCGTGAGACCTTGGTCAGGGGAGGAAAGCAGCAAGGCTCGTTGGCTCCCTTACTACGCTGGCAAAAGGGCAGATCAAGAGTGGATGGCAAGATCTCTTCTATTCCGTCTCCTGTCCAAAAGATCTACCATGCCCGACGACGGCGGCCATCGAGCCTCATTTATTCAAAGGCCACCTTCGCGACGGCACGACAGCGACAAGCGCACGACCGCGAAAAAGCATGCGACCCTGCATCCATGCAGACCCAACGCTTCTCGAAGGACATGGCGCCCAACAGCGCCGAAGGAACATGTTTCGAATTTACCAGGCACAATGGCACAATCGCCGTGGGAGGGTCGCGATGGCCGGGTTGGACTCGAAGCAGCAGGGTCAGGGCACGCTCGACCTTCCTACCTGGTCGGGGCCAAGGAGCACGCCATCCTGACGATCATGAGGCGACGAGCGAGCGGCGAACCGCCGACGACGAACCTTTTTGACGAATCTCAACGCGCCCTCGCCGACAACTATCGGCAGCGGCGCAACTGCAGATGAACGCCCGTTTTCCCCCAAACGCCTCTTCTCGCCCTCCCCGGTCCCCCACCAATCGATGGCGTTTTTGCCAATGATACCAGCGGCGGCCACCCGTGCCTTGGCATTAGGGATGCATCGTTCGGTAGAAGGTTGATTGACAGCCCAAGGGGGGGGGGGACTCCTTCAAGAACTCCTTTGCGCTGAACATCCCTCGAAGGGCTGCATCGTTGGATGCCTCCAAGCCCTTGGAAGCAGACGTGAGGGCTGGTTGGGATTGGTTTGGCTTCGCCCGTCGCCCATCCTCCTCGCCCCATGCCGACGACGAGGATGCTTCGCAAGGTCTCAATAGAGTTGCATCATCCATGGCAAAGCAAGCGAACTGCCAAGTCTGGACACATGCCCAGCCTTCTTTCCCCCCTTTGCCCATATTTCATGGTTCGATGCGGCCATGCAGTATGGAAGCGGGCAAAGGCAAAGGTGGGCCAAAGTATTCGCAACGTTGCGTTTGGCGAGAAGAGTCCCGCGCGCGGATGGACCGACTTTGCCTTGCCGGGCATACAGTACGGCCGGCAAGCAAGCGACTCTGACGCCCCCCCCCCCCCCCTTTTTCGTACCCATTTTGATGTAGGACAGCTCCTCTTCCGACGCATCAGCGAGGTTAAAAGAGACTTTGTCTGCCGGGGTCCGCAGGAGGGGCATGGCTGCTCACGGAACCGGGATGGCCCTTGGTGTGCTCAGAGAAAGTCATGGACGGCCTTCCCAAATCGTCTCACGGTCTTGCATGTCCCTCTTGACTCGGGCTGGCCGACCATGTCACATTGTGTGCGCAGATGATAACAATCACACTCAATATGGTTGGAAGAGAAAGGGGGGGGGGGGGATCCCTCGCATATGCATCTTACGTCGACATGCATCAGATTGTTCTCGAAAGAAACAAGGGACGAAATCTCTACACTACACATGGAGCCAGATGGGTAGCATCGGTCTGCCCACAACCTGTTATTCCAAGACACCTCATGGTAGCCCACTCCCCCCCCTATTCCCTTTCCCGCCTACAGCCCGCATGCCACCGGCCGGCGATCCATCTATCGCCCCTTGTTGCTTTCACTGCGAATGTAGGGTTCCAACGGGAAGACCTGCGTGTCAGGGTCAAGGCCGTCATACAGCTGTCGCCACCTCTCGTGGAGGTCGCCCGGCGTCGCCCAGGCCTTTTCGGGATCGCGCAGCCACAGCCGCACGAGGTGGCGCTGCTTCTCGGGCGTGTCGGTGAAGCCGTCGCGCGCGTGGAAGACGGCGAGGTTGTTGACGTACTGCATGTCGCCCTTTTCAAAGTCCGTGGCGACGCTGTACTTGTCGCCGAGGAAGTGCAGCGCGTCCAGAGCCTCGGCCTGGGCCTCGGTGATGGGGGGGATGTGCGGGCTCCGCGGCAGGGCGCCGAACCCGACAAAGTAGCGGCGGGCGTACTGGAGGACGACGCGCTCGGGAGCCGAGGCCGTGGCCGGCTGGTGGTAGAGCAGCGGGCGTGTCCAGTACGGCTTGTCCGACTTGGTGAAGCTGTGCACGGCACGTCAGACGTGCCCATGGCATGACGACGAGTGAAGGGAAAAAGAAAAAGGTGACACAGCTGCCCAGAGGGTGTCAAGGGTGTGTACTCACATCTCAACATCCCAGCCCTCGCTCAGGGTGCGCACGAGGTCAGGCCGCGTGGCAGCGAGGTGGTTATAGACGCGCCACGTGCTCGCGAGACGACTGGCGCGCCTCAGCAGCCGAGTCGAGAGCAAGCAGCGACACAATGTCGCCCGTGTCCGTGTGGAAGACCTGCTTGTCGGAACGTGTCCCGGCTCCCGATGACGCCATCCTGGCCCTGGGAGGCTCCACAGGTCCTTGACGTGCGTGAGGACGACGTCGG